CCCTTAATTTAATGTTGCTAAAGCAATTAATGTTTTATTGATTCACACGAATCAATCGAATCATGCAGTAATCCGATATTATAGATAGATATTAGCCGGGTAGGTAGGTAATAAAGAAAAGTTTAACACGACTAAGTCATTAAAATAATTATAATAACATTATTTTATTCCATTATAGCCATTCATAACAGCTGTTGTAATGTTGATAAGATTAGGGTCGCAGGTGTTTATCAAGAATTCCTATTCATACCATATTTTGTTTATAGGCTAGATAGCTTATTATTTACAAGTCACACACGTGCAAGAAATCGTTAATGATTCAGTTATCGTCCTAAAGATAATAAGTATTCGATAGTATCAAAGTTACTTCCCTGGCCAGCTTTTGATTTAGCAACCTTCGCGATAAACGGTTTCGATAAGAACACGAACGCGGTGCCGCGTGATATTATTAATTTATTGTTCCGTTTATCGGGAAAACACTTGAATTTTGAGTGGCTGTTTTAGCTCAAGATTATGTAGTTTCTGTAGGATTTTCCATGAAAATTCTAGGTGAAGGCTGTACCACTTCACCAAGGCCTCTTTAATGAGTTCATGAACATTTTCCTAGTTAAATCCAAGAAAATTGGTTGTAACGAAGCATTTTCCGGAAAACTTGCGTAATAAAAACTTGTTCAACGAATTTGTATGTAAATACGACCAATTAGGAATGCCACAAGGTTGAAATGTTAGAATCTCTTTGTTTATAAACAGGTAGTTAAATGCGATTTTATATGACTGAGCCACATAGTTTAAATAGCTAGGAAAATGGTATATAAATATGAATTGGGTCTTAAGGTAAAAAAATATCACTAAAATATTGTTGCTTATAACGAGTGGGAAAAATGTAAGTTACACGTGTATCGCGAAATAATAATATACAAGTAAGTATGCTGTTCAACATGGCCGTAGCCGAAGAACTCATGATGAAACCAACTGTCGTCAAATGTTGACATAGCCAGCCAAGTTATGTAAGGAGCTGTAATAAGAAGGATGTCGTAATATTGACCAAGGGTTGTTAGTTCAGCAGTTTAATGGACATTCAACTAGTTAGTTACCACTGTGGATTACGTAACGGGTTGTATTATGGTTACGTCCCTACTTCATCCTTGTGTCATCTACAACATGAGCTATGTATTAAAGAATCGTTTGTTCTTCGGTTTGGGACTTAAATTATGCCTAGGAACAAAATGAAATGTGTTATTAATATTATTTTAGGGAAACTTGACAAGGGTGGATTTAGGTGTAAAATTAGACATTTTCAGTAGTATCTCTTAGCTGTAGAAGCGAAAATAGACATCGTGTTTAACAATTTTATTTTATCGCTTTTAAAATAGGTACCTTAAATGCCTGAATAATGTTCCAAGTATCTGTCTACACGATAGGTAGATGTTTTATTTACATTTTGTTATCAGGCGGGGTTCGCCTCGCGTCCGTCCGACACGGATTACTCAATGACCGTGCTAGTCCGCTCCAAATCATAGTAAGCTAATGAGATTATTATATTTTAAAACTGATGACACTCTTCTAGCGTATTCGACTGGCTAAACAGGTTGTGTGAATTAATTACACTAAATTAACGTAGGTTATATTTAGTTCATCAACCAATTCCGAATTTCCGCAGCAACACTTTAGACCCGCGTCACTAATTCGTTAAATTAAATTTTTATCTATAATTTTGTCATTTGTAGAATTTATCAGTTGACAATATCGATGCAGATTTTATAATTGCGATTACATAATTGTACAAAAGAGACACAGAATTGGAAGCACCAAATATGAAAAATAGGTTAATGTGGTAGCTGTGGGCGGGGGTAGTCGACCTATAGGCTATTGGCCGTTCGATACTAATGTAAATATTATTTGTAAGCTATTAGGGTCTTTGTACGTTTCAACCAGACTAAATATTTATTATTACAATGCATTTTTAATTCGTAAAATGCTTCCTTCTGTTAAGATTCGATTCTAAGAAATATTTCTGTCGAGGAAAACACCTGTGGCATGATCACATTCGAAATCTTTTAATGAAATCATTACTAAAACGAAATCCGTGTTATTGTGACTTCATATAAAGTTCATAGCTATCTGTAATGCTCAATCGTTGGGCCTGTCTAGTTAATTTGTAATCTATCAACTTTTGATAAGAACTTATCAGCAGATGCTCATTAATACTTCCTTGAATAAGTCGACTCTGAGTTCTGACTTTGTTAATAACAATTTACTTTGTGAAACAAATTAAGTTATAAACTTGCCACTTTAACTCGAATAATTTAAACAAGCTTAGTAAGCAATCGATAGGAGCCCTGCGATGTTAAATAACGTTATTGAAGAAAAGACATTACGATAGAAGCAGCCTATATTAGCCTATACTTATTTAGAAATATCAGTAATGGTAATGTCATACGATATGAAATGTTACTATAGGTACTGAGTCCTGAGAACAATAGAAGCTTTCACGAAGTTCCACTGAATATCACATTATGTTTTCCGTTTGTATGTTCCATTTGGGACGCATGTGTACCGATCATAACATATTGGATTCGGGTCGACGACCTCGGCCATATTTTGTCAGTAAAAACAATGAGAAAGTTCTTCGCTATAAAAGTACAGTAAAAAGTTGCCAGTCAATTGGAAATAATTGTTCGAACGGCTTTGTTTCCTCGAGTGGAAATTATATTGATCTTGCGAAATTAAAACGTGTGAAGGAATCACCCTCCTCTTTGTATTTTTATTCTAAGCGTATTTTATACTTAAACAGTCTGTTTACACTTTCAAAGGGATAGTTAGTTTCCAAAACCGAAGTACCTACCTAATTACTTAATGTCCACTCGTAATGCTAACTTGTCTCTATTAGGTAAAAATACTAAGGAAAATTATTGTTATAGGGTATTTGCATACAAATTAAACCAGAGCTTCTAAAATCCAGATGACATACAACATGAAAATAATTAAAACCGCAATACATTCATGCAGTTACGAGTTATTTCGCTCTTTTCATAAAAACTCAAATTGGATCCTTTTGAAAATATGGATGAAACGAAGAGGATTACGTTTTGGCAGCGAGTATAAAGCCGTGGAAACCGAGTTTTAATTAACAGAGCTATAGCTTGCGAATAGTCTCAAACAGTTACGTCACGGCCGCCTCGTGGCGGTGTGGCATATTATACATTTGTTTTATGCAATATGTGCAATGTACACACGAATCAAATGTTGAAACCACTACATCAGAAGTCAATATGCTACATTTGGCCTAGCTAGTCGTTTCAAATGGCACTGAATTATTGTGATAATTTCATTTATCGAAATGGACACCCCTCACTTTATTCTTCTAGGAACACAAGTTCGATATAATGCTATTTACCTATGTAATATTGTTTATGACAATGATAGTCATAACACAAACCATTTTGAATGGAATTGACGCATGTTCACAACTTCACAGTTACGTAATATTTGCCTTTCTCGTTCATCACACTAGGTTTGTTATTTTTCTATTACCTGCCAGACGTAAAGACCGTTCTAAATGCTAATTGAGGTCCGAGCGGAAATAATATTGATCGTGCCTACAAAACTGTATTCATGTCATGTGTCAATTTAGCGTTTCCTACAAAATAATGATAGAAGTTTTACACTTTTTACAATTAAAATCAAATCACAATTTAATATCACGCGATAATAAAAATCTAGATTACCGTAATTAAAATAAATGTAGGTCATCTTATCATGCCGCAGTCTGCGAATTTCTTCGAAACTTTATTCTTGACAATAAAATGATTCATGAGATGTTGAAAGCTTGCAGACTTGTGCGATAACCTTAAAGTCACGGTTAATTAGTGGAGTTATATGTTTAGATTGACTACCAGCAAACAATGAATGTTCTTTGATCATGTATAGGTTAATAACAGCCAGAGAATCGATTCAACGTATTAATGCATGACGCGGGTCCCTTTTGTTTTGTGGTCGTTGGTTCATTACCTCCCCAAGCATACTCTATTATTAATGACGTATGTCGGAACTCAGTGGCATGTGCCTGTCAATTATGCCTTAACGATAGAATTATTGAAGAAAATCCATTGGAAATGAAATCAATCCGGGTATTTGATTTAAAACACATTGAACTTCTAAATGACTCATTGAACTGCAATGACTTTCAACAGAATTGGAATGTGAAGGACATTTTGAAGGGTCTGTTTTTATTCTGATTATGCTCGTCCTAATGCGATGCGGGATAAAAGGTCAGCTTATCTAACGATGTTCTTTAAAGCCCTAAATGAAAACTTTACACTAGTTTCATTTAGTATTTTTGGTTGAACAGTTGTACCTAAGGGTGAGTCGAGTGAAGTGACCTTTAAAAGACTCCGCCCAGCCAGTTAGTGGCACGGGTGAAGAGTTCGACACCCGCCTTCCTTTGTAAGCGATACGATAACACTCACGAACGTACATTTATTTATATTACTTGACATTTTTAAATATTTTTCTACGTTTTACTAAAATTACATGTTATTCAGTATATTAACACGAGTTGTCAATGCCTCTATCAAACGAAATATCCTGTCAAAGGGTTGACCATGATGCTAATACTATGCTAAATATTTTGCGAGCTTATCTTTTATTATTGCCTAAATGCACTACCAATACTTTAATTAATTCTGATGACCGTTGTTCACAATAGTAAATGAATAACAGTCGGGATAATCGAAATAAAATTCTAATTAGTACCTAAATATTATTAAAATTCAGTATCGAAATTTTAATCAATAAGCTCATTATTCTGCATTACTTATGTAGATATACAACCACACTTTATAATATTTGGTTAGGTCAGGTTAGTCAACAATTCTTATTTAAGCAGTCATGTAATTTACTGAATATGAGATGAATCTAATGTTGGGACAACTCTCGAGTCCAAACAATAGTTATGTGTGAGTAGATACCTTATGTTATATTATTTTGTTTGTTTGCAGACGATCATGAAGAAGTACTGCCCGTCTATCGCAGCCGGCGGTGTCTCCTGCTGCAGTGACGAGCAGATGGACAACTTGGCTTCAAAGATCATGCCCGCAGAGAATCTCTTACAAAGATGTCCATCTTGTTTCGAGAACTTTGTCCAACACATATGTGGGATGACTTGCTCGCCGAATCAGAGCGACTTTCTGTATCCCGCTGAAGTTGTTCCGTTCAACGGTGAGTTTGTTGATGACCAAAATATCGTCTAAATATCAGGCCATAAAGAGATCTTCTTCCATTCTTTGCATCCGACACAAAAATATACTACAAGATTCAAATTCAAATTCAAATTCATTTATTGTTTGTTACATGTTGACAATAGATGTTATATATATTAGAGGTATAATAGTAGCATAGTAACATACCTATAAGGTGTACAATAGTTTATGTTATTTGGATTATTCTACTAGTCTCAAAATATTATTAAATTTTTTGTTGCATCAGTTAAATCATTACAATAAAAATATGACAAGTCATTACCTTACATTATCGAATTTAACTGAATTATTACATTAATTTATTAAACCTTGGTCAAATTATTATATTAAATTTATTGAAACATTTAGTCAACTTTAATTTTTTAGACAATATTAATCGGGTAATTAGTCAGTGGTCAAGTTGTACCACATTGGTCCAAATATTAACATTTGTCAAATGCATGTCCATAAATAAAGAAATTAAAAATTAAAGTTCATGAATATAAGTCAAAATTATACATAAAATTGTTGTACGCTGAATATTGAATATACATTTACTATCAGTTTGTCAGAATGCAGCTATCCCAGTGTCTTGTCATTTAAATAGTCCTTTATTGTGTAATATGCTTTATTTATCAAGAACTGCTTTAGTTTAAGTTTAAAGAGATTGATAGCTGAAATATTCTTAATACTATTTGGTATCTTATTATAAATCTTCACTCCAATTCCAAATACACTAGATTTAAATTTAATTGTCCTACATCTAATTTCTGATAATACATTTTTATGTCGTGTACTTCTAAGCATTTCATATTTGTTGATATCACTTTTTACCATTATTGCGGCTTCATAGATAAATAATGAAGGCAGAGTTAAAATTTTTAATCTCCTGAACATGTCTTTGCATGACTCAGTCTGTTTAAGTCCCGTCATACTTCTAAGACACTTTTTTTGTGCTTTAAAAGCTTTTTCTTTATCAGTAGAATTTCCCCAGAATAGTATACCATATTTTAGTATGGAACCCACATATCCATTCTTTGACATGGTTCTAAATAGTTAATGTATTCGTTTTCAGCTACCCACCAGAAAATCACCACAATCACCTACGACCTTAGCGCTAAATACATGAACACCACGTTTGAATCCTGTCTACAGGTAAAGTATCAATTTATTTGATGTGAATATTTTATTATTAGGCACTTAACCTTTCATAACCTACTAATTATGGTCACTGTGTCAATTATATATGTCTATAGCTTAACGATAATAGTTGCTAAGTAAAGGTACTAGGTACATTTCTTCATTTGATTAATCAATATAGATAATCATTGATACTTTTAATGTACACGCCCTCCTGAATAAACGATATGATTCATTGATATAATTCACCAATATTAAAGAGAGGCATTAATTCTTTAAAGTATGTTATCTTCTAGTTTAGCGTGTAACAATAATGGTACTTGTTTTCTTATGAACACCTGCATACATTTAGATTTATGATTATTTCTATATTACATACTTATGTATGACTCAGACCTGCATACAACGAAATGACGAAATATCGTCTCACGTTGATACAAACAGTCGAAATGTGTCGCCTTTCTACAGAAATGTATGATGTTATCTATTATAAATAATTATTGATATGCTGTCGATTGTTCGTTGGAACTGCGGGTTTTCCATTCTATTAATTGATTCATTTATATTATATTGATCTACATTTTAAAGTTAGGTACCTATTTATTGTATAAAATGTCTACCTACGCTTACGTTAACAGTTTTAGAAGTATGTACAAGTACTGTAGGTGTATTTTACGAATTAAATTGCGAGAAAATCTATTTGCAATATACATAGAAATTAAGAGTTCCATGAAGTAGTATTCTTTATTCTCCAGTATGTTTATCTAAACTCAATACCAATTCTGTTTGCGTAAAATAATAAAAACTTTAAAATACGTTTTAAAAGTAAAACGTGATCAATAAAACTTCAGTAAATATTTTCTCAATCTGATAAGTTCGCTATTGTTCTTCAGACTTCACTTGTTCATAAACTCTGTATTTACAAACAGGTGCAAGCGCCGTCAACCAATCAACTGGCTTTGGACCTTATGTGCGGGGAGTATGGTGCAGAATACTGTACGCCGGAGCGGTGGTTCAAGTTTATGGGAGACGTGGCGAATTTTGCGCCCTTCCAGATCAACTACGTGAATGATCCAGTGCCAGAACATGGATTGATGCCCTACGATCCCGTCACAAGACCCTGTAATGAAGGAGCACCCGTAAGTTGTCTTATTTTAACTAATGGATGATAGTTTGTTCGAGTTTTATATGTCCCCCTTTTCTTTATTTATTTATTGTCAGTCTATTTAGCCTTAATATCCCTCAAGATGTGTTATTGAATTCTCTCAAGATAAAATATTTCAATAGTATAGATATTTCATTAAGGAATAAATATAGGTAGATTTTCATTCACAAATTCAAGTACATTCACAATCCCTATCATCTGATTGATGAAAAAACCTACCAAGATAATGATACCTAAATACTGAGAATGAAACATTCGAGTTTCGCAATCATTCAGTTTATTTGCAGATAGTAATAATTTCCCCTCGTACGACTGCATTAGTAATAAATTATCATCTTTATCTATACACAGCTAAGATTAATTTTTGACGCGCGTGCGATGAGAGATATAAGCATAAAGGCCTTTGATTCCCTATCGGCTTAGCTATGCGATTCATAACTTTAAAAAACTGATAATATAGATACCGTTTCATGTGAATGACTAATTTTTATCAATGGCAAAATCTATCAATCGAATATTGTATGTTTCTGAATGAAAAGAGGAAAATGTCGATAGGTAAGATACTATTGAGGTTTAGTGAGAAAATATAACTTCAATGCAAAATGTAGAAAGCATTCATTTAGTAAAGTAATTAAAGTATTATCAGACGTTTCGATTCGATATTGGAATTTAAATTATTGTAACAATGAATCTTGGGCTGAAACTAATTTGCTTAATAAATGAGATTCATAAATTAATGAAAACTGGGTGTAGTTTTATTACGAAGAAATAAAAAAATGTGCTACATTTAGAACAGACACTCACATACATTTCTTTGTTATACATCTCTAAATAACCATATTCATACACAGGGTCAACCCGGCTGTTCATGTCTGGACTGCAGTGCCTCATGTCCCGCTCCCCCACCGCCCCCACCTCCAATGGTTCCCTTCACCATCCTCGGAGCTGACGGGTATGCCGTCATCATGGCTATCGTCTTCGTCATTTTCACAACCCTGTTCCTCTCAGGAGTATTCTGCTGCACTCCCCAAGACAACGCTGTCGGTGAGTACATAATAATAATTTTTAATCCTAACCAAATTAAATCTAGAAACTTCTTTGATGTTTTAAGTGTTTGGAGTCAAATCCAGTCAAGCAAGTTCAAAAAAGTGTATTTTTAGTAGATAACAATGACGTTTGTCAGTAAAAAACTAGCTAAGTCAATTAATAAATTAAAAATTCAAAGTGTAATCTCAAACTCCAGACGTTTAAATGTCATTTATATTTATTACCGTCGAAACAAAATTACTTTATGAAACTATTTTACCTATAATTGAGATTTAGGTTAGGTATATGCAAACACACCATTTAATTCTCCATTGTTTGAACACGGTACAAGTATTCACCTACTTTACCTCTGTTCTATTCAATACATAACATTTATTGTCAATAGTTTTTACTTCACAAATACAAACACTTAGACTGTTATTTATTTGTTTATGATATATTTATTTATACATATTCTTTTCTTATGTATATCACTCTTAAATACGTAGTCTAATGATTATCTGTAGATACTATTCTGGAATGTTCCTATATCTTTGTGGCAATACTAATAATACTTCTAATATTCCGAACTAATTAACCTACTTATTATTTAATGTAACATGTTCGTAGTATTAATGTCTGTAAGCTGTTATTAAGATGTTCTGGGTAAAAAATGAACCTAAATAGATTTACCGGTTAGTTTAAGAGTAATTTATTATCATTGAAAAGATTCTCGGTCGATGTCAATTATGAACTACAGTCAAACAATGTTGCAATAACACTTCCATTCAACTGACTAATTCAATGTAAATAAAACAATTATGTTATATTACACTTACATATTTTTACATCATCGGTTTACATTTCATATTATTATCTTCTAACCTATTAAGAGAATACCTAATTTCAAATGACAATTGCTGTATGTATTCAATTCTACTATTGTCAACAATTCTATTGTTTTAATTGCACTATTTACCCTGACACAAAATTTCGTACAATCGCTGTATTTTATAAACAACAAATTGACATTGACCATGGCTGCCTCAAGATATATTTTGTCAGAATAACCTTATATTTATGATGTCATAACTAATAAAAACTGGTCGTGGAAACGTTTATACCATGAACTGTGTACCTTTGAATGATACAACTAGAATATTGCCCTCGACTACCTTACTGACGAAACGACTATAAACTGTTAAATTGATACCGGCTTTTCCGGTTATAAAAAATAATATTTTGCAGATAATTAAATGAAAATACCAGCCGTTTTAATTCGATGTGTAATTGCAACATAATCCTGGTTTTCTTTATTGATGTAAAATAACAGTCATTAGGTACTATTAGGTACATGCAAAAAATAGTAATATACAATACGGATCCTTACCAACAAATCATCATGAAACAAAGGCCCTGGATCAGTAAATTTTCCATTTAACGGATATGTAGGGTGCTGGTAGTAGTTAGTCAGTAAGGTAGCGCGGGTCTGTTGGGTCGTGGTGACGTAACGTTGGGTGGTGTTGGGACAGACGGGTGGGCGCGCAGCGGCGAGGCGCGGCGACGCGGCGGCCCAGAGACCAGTCCGCTGCACTCGCACCGCTCCAGTACGTACCGCACCCTAGCACGTGCCACCAAACACCAACATCCACATTTACCTGTTCTATGCACTCGCCTGCTCATGATTAATGACAAACGATTGCACTACAACCATTTCTATGTGCAAATGAATTCGTAAACATTACATTGAGTGCAATGGAAAGTTTGCGCTTGCTGTGCGAAGTTTGCGCATTTTGCGCAACTGTTTGCCGACAAAAACTATTTTTTGTCATGATTGTAAAATCTCTATGTAAAAAACCGATACAATCGTTTGTCATTAAGAAATAGCATAAAAACAATGACGACGTACTCACTGTGACGCTATTAAGATTTGGTTTATTAGCTCATTGTTTTCATTTAAATAATGTCATATAGTTTTGGTACACACAGTAGCGTATTCATTGTTTAAGCCTTGTATTAGTGTACACAAAATCACGCTTTGGAGAGTTTTGTAGCCCTTTCCATACGCATGTAGTAAGAATGCTTTGTAGTAAGAGTTTACTTATCCTGGTAACATGTAACCTCACCCTTATTAATCTAAGAAAATTACTATAGTTAGTGAAATCGTTCTTACGCCAATTTGGTTTAGTTCTATAGCAATTTCTCTGCCATATAGCTATGGCAGTGCAGGATACAAATTAACCCATTTAGTTTAAATGATGATATTACCCTGCACAACTATTGTAACTACAATGTATATCGGTGTTCTCAAGTCGGGCATGTTTCGATTTTCATCCTGCACTTTGATTGGTCATCTCAATACCCAATACTCGTTCAAAATTGAACATTACCTATCTCATTTGCATGAACTTGAGACATTCGATACGTTGCTTAGTAGTAATGCTTACCCTCCACCACATTTACAGGGGAGTAACTAATTTATCCTTCAATATTTCTACTTTATTCTGAAAATAGTGACGTTATTCGAAAGATACGATGAAAACTAAAATTGTAAATTCTTATTTTGGCTAGGAATATTTTTAAATATACTTTTCTTGTCACCATACTTTATAAAATTCTTCTACTTTAAGATTTTAATATAATATTTTATTCTTATTAATATTAGGGAGTCTGCATGCTATATTTGTTTCTTGTTTCTTATTACACACACAATTTTATGTCATTCGTTTATGTATTTGTATGTACGTATTGTCCTTTTTATACACAAGTCGTTTTGTCTTTGTAATCGTAGGTAATGGTAACCGTTGTGTTTGTTCAAATAGTTTGTGAAGTTTTTAATGTTTGACAAAAGTCTATGCATGGGGTTTTTACTAACTGGGGTTATATGTATAAGAGCAACAAATTGGAAATAATATTTAATTGTGTTGTTATTTTGTTTGTACATACACCCCCTATTATATGGGTTTTTTAACAGAGCTGCCGAATATCGGCCATGTAAAATGTGCATCTTTACCTTTCTCCTCATAAGAAATAAAAGACGATTTACCATTGACAAAAGAAATGAGATTTATTATTGGATAATTACAATTTTTCATGCATGGACTTTATTATTGTTCAATGTTTTATTGCAGTAAGATAAAGCCCTATACACTTGCGGTCGATAAAATGAAAAATCGATTACTTTATTGCTGCCATAATGATGTTATAACTTTACAATTAAAGATTAAACGAACGTTAGTCACGGGCTATATCTTATTGCTATACTAAAAGACGTGTTAATAAGGGATTATTTATAAAAAATAGGTGTAGCTTCAGAGAACAATCAGGAGATGGCAACGAACCCTAGGACTCTTGGTTGGTCTGCTGACCAGCCTGATGGTGTGGAAGGAGAAGCGTCGTTCTTTGAAAAGCTTGGAGCGGAGACTGAGACTAAGATGGAGGACTTCTTCCAATGGTGGGGATACCACATGGCGTCCCGTCCTTGGCTTGTTCTCTTTGTGGGTGAGTAATCCCCATACACACAATCCATACACACATAGCGAAATAAGATGAATTGTCGACTTTAGTATTGTAAAAATAGAGTAGAAAATCTATAAAAACTTCTACTTACTGACAATTGTAGACCCTTAAATAACAATTCAGTAAAAATCTCCTATCGAGCGCAACATGCGCAATCTTTTGCGCAAAGTGTAACACTAAACGCATAGTAAGTAATATTAGTCTCTATTAATACATTTTGTTATAAAATTTAATGCATTTTCGTTGTTCTCCAGGTCTGTGTATAGTGGTGGGTCTTGGCCACGGTATCAGCTACATGCGTGTGACGACCAACCCAGTGGAGCTCTGGGCTGCGCCTAACTCACGTTCCCGTATGGAGCGAGAATACTTCGACTCGCACTTTGAACCGTTCTACAGGTAAGATTTTCTTAGTTTTTTTTTTTTTGTATTACGTTTGGACGTTTCTTGGCTCAAAGTGGCAAAAGCTAAATAAAATATATCTTCCTCAGAAACGAGATGTTGATCATCACCTCAAAAGGCCTGCCTAAGATCGAGCACAACACACCAAACGGTGACATCACCTTCGGACCTGTCTTCAACGCCACTTTCCTTAAAGATGTGCTGGAATTACAGAACAAAATCATGGGTAAGATATAAAGCGAAATAATATTATTTTTTATATTTTCCCGTATCAGACACCATTCTAGCAGTTATATTTTATCTTTCGTATCATTTTGATTATCCATTGTTTATTTGGTCGTTTTCTTTCCTTTCGATCCATACATATTTGAATTACATTCTTGGTTTACCAAAAGCATTTATCGATCTCAAATTTAAATAAATCTTAAATAATGTTTTACAGCTCTGGGCAACGAGACAGGTATCCAGGACATTTGCTTCGCTCCGCTGACGTCATCGTTCAGTGGTCCCATCAAACCATACGACTGTGTGGTGCAGTCTGTCTGGGGATGGTGGCAGAACGATATCAGCAACTTTGAAGCTGAAGAAGAGGACGGAGAATATCTTAACACTATTCTCAAGTGCTCTGGGTAAGGGTTACATTTCTATTTAATTACTTATCGTTAAAGAAATATCTTTTAAAGTAAGTTAATATTATAAATGGATTGACTGATGAACAACTTCTATGTTTAAAAGCGCCTAAAGCGTTTGGCTGAAATAAATTGTTTTTGTTGAGTATAAATTAATTTTCAAAATTGATTTTTACCAGTAATCCATTCCTGCCGGAATGCCTTGGTTCGTACCGCGGCCCAGTGCTGCCCGCAGTAGCGCTGGGCGGGTTCCTGGCGCCGGGCGAGGCACTCAGCAAGAGGAGCAGGTTCCACGACGCCACCGCACTCATCATCACACTACTTGTTAACAACAAACACGACAGGGAACAGGTAAACAACTCTACACAAAAAATCTTAATACTTGTTATTTAGGTAAAATCAGTTTCGCACTCTAATCACAACTTTCTTATGATACAAATTAAGATGTTTAGAAAAAGCAAATAATGTTTGCATTAAACACCTACATCAAAATTTACTATAAAATATAACTTTATAAATAGTATCGTTTACGTACCATAATTAAGGGTCCCGCGTCACTCGAAATTAGACGGGTATCTCCGAAATATAATGTCTAGTAGGCCGTATATACATTATTTAATTTAATAAATTTATATTTTCCTACACTTTTACTTATAAATCGTTTCAATAATATATTAGTAAGTCTATATTAAACTAACAACTTAACACTGTTACAGGAGGGGCTCATTGTCAACGATTTTATTGATCGGTATTATATAATACGAGATAGAATTTATACTTAAAAACACGGTGTATCCTTCACACATCCCTTACCGAATATTCTTACAGGCATATATCTCGATTCATTCTCATTTACATAAACATAAAATCGAGATATATGCTGAAAAAATCGTTATAGGATTTTTTTTTTTGGAATGTTTGAGCTCTTTCCCTGTTTTAAATTATTTTTCTTCTCTTTTTCTCTTTCTTAGACATGTTTTATTTTACAAATGTCTATTTAGTGTTACTTAAGTCAAACAATGTAATAATTTATCGTAATTTTCAGTTGAAACCGGCTTTGGAATGGGAGAAAGAATTCATTGCGTTCATGAAGAACTATACTGCGACGCAAATGCCTTCGTACATGGACATTGCGTATACTTCCGAGCGATCTATTGAAGATGAATTGGAGAGAGAGTCACAATCAGACGTGTCCACCATCCTGGTGTCTTACTTCATCATGTTCGCGTATATCGCCATCTCACTTGGAAGGTTCACCGGCTTCTCAAGGCTCCTTATTGATAGCAAAGTCACCTTGGGTCTTGGAGGTTAGTGACTCTTTATAATCAAAATATTTTCAGCTTCTTTTCGTTTATTTTAAATCATCCTTTTTTTCATATTCAAGCTGGTCATCGTCGTTTTGGTCTTTGTCGCTAAAAAATAATGCAATTTATTATGACCGTCTGCAGTTGCAGCAAACTGCAAACTGTAGTCGTTCTAGAAATTACTAGGAAACAAAAACATTGAGTTTTATGATGATAAAAAAAAACTACTGCCTCGTTGGCCGAGTGGTCGGAGGATCTCGGGTTCGATTCCCGGTCGGGTAAAGATTTACTGGGTTTTAAAAAAAAATCTGAGTAGTAGCACGGAGTCTGGAAATGTGCCCGGTATATGGCAATAGGCTCACCCCCTATTACATGGGACTCATAACATAAATAGTGAAAAGTGGTTGTTACCTCTGTGTGCACCTCTGCCTATCCCTTCGGGGATAAAAGGCGTGATGTTATGTTATGTAAAAAAAATATATTTCAATATGACCGAATTATATCATACTTGTTAATATTCAATGAGTAATTACCTATTTTCCTCAGGTGTGACAATCGTACTAGCGTCAGTAGTATGTTCAGTGGGTATGTTTGGTTTCGCTGGAGTACCAGCGACGCTGATCATCATCGAAGTGATTCCTTTCCTGGTGCTGGCTGTCGGAGTCGATAATATCTTCATCCTGGTGCAAACTAACCAGAGAGAGGGCAGGCGGCCTAACGAAACTGTTGCTGAACATATTGGAAGGACGTAAGTGTTGCATTATTTAATGATTGTTTTTTTTTTATTAATGTGGTCTTTGATTTATCTGCGGAAAGATGTTAAAACTTTTTTTTTGATAGAAGTTATAGTCTGCATTCCACATGCATTTGTATTTGTCATTATTATTTTTTTAACAATCATTAGACGGAAGATTTCTTTTAGATATTTGGCATAGCATTTCTTTGGTTTTAAATATGACGTGTGACTGCACGGTTGGCGCGGTGGCTGGACAACCGGCTGCCGCGCAACGTGCAGCTGGTTCGATTCCCCCACGGAGCAACTTTTTGTGTTATCCACAGATTGTTGTTTCTGGGTGGCATGTGTATGTAAACTATACTTGTGAACGCACCCACGACACAGGAGAAAATCCTAGTATGGGGCAATATTTTTTTTTAATATTGGTCATTATACTGTGACCATTATCTACTCTAATCTAATTCGCTACAGACGTGTTTTACAGTGTCAGATTTTCTTCTTTTATTCTAATTGACATAATGTGATAAACAAGCCCTAACAATAACACGTTCTTTCCAGACTGGGTCAAGTAGGTCCATCAATGTTCCTGACATCAATGTCGGAGTCAGTATGTTTCTTCCTGGGCGCTCTGTCCGACATGCCGGCCGTGCGAGCCTTCGCCCTGTACGCGGGCGCAGCGCTATTGGTCGACTTCTTGCTACAAGTTACCTGCTTCGTGGCTTTATTGGCTATTGATACGCATCGGCAGAATGCTAACAGGTATTATTTATACTTTTTTTAGTTTGACTGCCTCGTTGGTCTCGGGTTCGATTCCCGGGTCGGTCAAAGTATTACTGGTTTTTGTTTTAAATCTCTGTATTAGCATGGGGTCTGGAAATGTGGTATATGGCAATAGGCTCACCCCGTTACATGGGACTCATAACATAAATAGTGAAAAGTGGGAGTTACATTGTATAGTATAGTGGCATTAAGTGCCGTAATGTGCACGGGATACCTCAGGCCTACCCCTTAAGGGATAAAAAGGCGTGATGTTATGTTATGTTGAAATTTAGTTCTGCTGTACAACTGTTTATAAAAAAAATTTTTTTGGTAATTGGTGTTATTTTAGTTATTTTCTGAATATACACAAAGAATAGTAACATCCAAGTTGACCCACCCATTTGCAATTGATTAAAAACATACTGGTACAAAACCCTTCGGGACTAGAAAATAACAGATAATATAGTCATGAACCAAACATTAAGCTCCAACGGTGTGCGCAGGTTCGACGTGTTGTGCTGCGTGCAGGGCACGAAGGCGGCGGGCGCGGAGGGCGGCGAGGGCGCGCTCTACAACGTCTTCCGCCAGCTCTACGTGCCCTTCCTCATGAAGCGGGAGGTGCGCGCCTCCGTCATGATACTGTTCTTCGCCTGGCTCTGCTCCTCTGTGGCCGTGAGTACTACCTATTACTATTATGAATGTCATTAATTTATCTATCAAAAAGGTTTATTCCACTTACTAATTAATCTCGGGACTCTAATTAAACCGGAACAAATTAATCTCTATACAAGTTTATCAACCAGGTAAACAATTACCTGGATTGGATTGGTACAATTAGTTTGTCCCGGTAATTTTGTTTTCATTATAAATGTGTTTAATGAACACTTCTTGTCTTATTTTCTGTAACTTATAAATTATATCGACGTTACAACGTCACAGACGTTGATGACTGCAATTAAAATGTGATTGTGAGACTATCGTCTCTACAACAGTAATGATGAATTATGAACTGTTGTCTATAAACATCTGCGGTAATCAATAAATCGGCTTGAGAAACTTATAATCTATTACTATAGGTATGATCTATCACTATTACTTTTCTTACTGAAATATGTAATTATTGTATTCTCCAGGTTGCACCTCACATAGAAATCGGTTTAGATCAAGAACTCTCGATGCCTCAAGACAGCTTCCAACTGAAATACTTCCAATATCTAAACCGTTACCTGAACATTGGACCACCAGTATACTTCGTGATCACTGAAGGATTAGACTACTCGGACTTGGAGACACAGAATATGGTATGCGGCACCAGGTTCTGCAGGTCAGACAGTGTCTCTATGCAACTGTATTCTGGTAAGTTACATTATAAGTTAATTTACTATAATTTTAACTATAAAAATATTCAAACACACGTAAAATACAATATGAAAGCTTTTTATTTATCTGAAACATGACATCGCGCAACGTGTCGCGGGTTCGATTCCCACACGGAACAACTCTTTGTGTGATCCACAGATTGTTGTTCCGGGTCTGGGTGTCATGTGTATGTGATATTGTATGTTTTTAAACGCACCCACGACACAGGAGATAAACCTAGTGTGGGGCAGTTTAAAAAAAAATCTACAAAAAAGAAAGTGCAATCTTTGCAATAAACATTTTAACTTGATATTAAATACACAAGAAGCTAAATTTTATGTTTTAATTCATTTTTGTATTACAGCGTATCGTACTCCAAACGAGACCTACATAGCACAGCCGCCGAACTCCTGGCTGGACGACTTCTTCGACTGGGCGTCTTTGAAGAGTTGCTGCAAGTACTTCCCCACCAACTCTAGCTTCTGTCCTAGCAGCCGTGAGTATTATACACAATACATATAGATTCATTTAATGATTCCCTATAATTCTGTACATGAAGACCGACAAGACAATGAGTCACATTGGTAAACAAAATGTCCTATCCTCAGGTGGAACACCGTGCAAGGAATGTCAAATCCAACTACAAGGAAACGAGCAACGTCCAGACGCGGCCGACTTCAACCATTACGTGCCATTCTTCCTGCAAGACATCCCCGACCCGGACGGCTGCGTGAAGGGCGGCCACGCCGCGTACGGCCAGGCCGTCAACTACCACATGCTCAACAAGTCGCAAGCCAAGGTCGGCGCCACCTACTACCAGGGCTACCACACCGTGCTCAAGACGAGCCACGACTACTACTCCGCGCTCAAAGGAGCTAGAGGAGTGGCTGCCAACCTTACTGAGACTTTGAACAGGAACTTGAAAGAACAAGGGAAGAATACAACTGTGAACGTGTTCCCATACTCTGTGTTCTATGTGTTCTATGAACAGTATTTGACTATGTGGCCTGATACACTGAAGTCTATGGGCATATCTGTGCTGTCAATCTTCATTGTAACCTTTTTGTTGATGGGCTTCGATCTGTTCTCGGCTTTGGTAAGCTGTTTTTTTTTTTAATTTTGAGTAAGTATAATCTGTTTTTCTTTATAATGTTGGTATTAATTGATTTGTTTGTTTGCAGGTGGTAGTTATTACGATTACAATGATCGTGGTGAATCTCGGAGGTCTGATGTATTGGTGGGGCATCAGTTTGAATGCAGTCTCACTTGTTAATTTAGTAAGTTTTAGTTTACATTACTAATTAAAAATTTTCGACGTATGAATTTGAATATCAATGTAGAAAGAAAGAAAAATATTAATAATGATAATAAAAATAAATATTAATAATACAGTTAATCGGGGTAACTTTGATTCGATTGGGTAACTTTGACAGCCGGATTACAATGTATAAAACATTTTTTTTCGTCAGCAGTATCTATGCTAAGTTCTCGTGTTTTTTCTTAGATAAATTACAGAAACATGCTTCGTAAATGTACCTTTAAAAAAGTAGCTGTCAGTCTGTGGTAATGTCAGAAACTTGACAAAACTTTGAGCGCTAAAATTTAGTTCCAGATACTGGTTGTAAACTTTTTCTGTTTTTCGGGAAATATTGTGTTCACAAGGTATGTAAAATGTTTTATAAACCAATTGAAATTTGTAGTTTTGTGTTTAGAAATAATTTTAACGTTTTTACGTCCCATTTCTCACAATCATGAATATAATTATTACTGGTCATAATTTGACCAATATCCGGATAACTTTGACACAAGCAAAGTTGCCCTGTTGTTTTTAAATTGAATGATGAATATTGTGGGTAACTTTGACATAGGTATTTGTAATGATCTTTTTCTTTCTTGTATATGTTATCGGTATTTGAACATAATCAAGTGCTTTTTACACTTTATGTTCATATGTGTTATATATATGAACGAGTTCTTACATCTTTTACATTTATTTCCAGATTAAAGGTACTTACTTTGCGCAATGCCTAGGAAGAGGAAAATCACAGAACCTGGCACTCGTAGGTATGGAATCAATTCTAATTACACACAAGCAACTTTGGAAGAATGTGTAGAAAAGGTGAAATCTGGTGAATTAAGCGCGTATTCGGCCAGCAAATCTTACAAAATACCAATTAATACAATAAAGAACAAAATCCGAAATAAACATGTAGAAGAAGTTGGAAGGCCGACTGCTTTAACCAAGCAGGAAGAAATTATAATCAAAGATCATATTATGGCTTTGTCCGATAACGGGCTGACTGTAGGGCTTAATGATGTTACGCTTATAATACAACGATATTTAAATGCAAGTAATAGGAAAGTAAAGACCTTTACTAATAATCGTCCTGGATGGGAATGGGGTCAGCTGTACCTCAAAAGACACCCAGACCTTAAAACAACATTTGGGCATAATATCAGTAGAAGCCGAGCGCAAGTTAACGAAGAAAAAATTAATGAATTTTTCGATAATCTGCAAATTGAAGTGGAAAATGTTTCACCAGAGAACATATACAATTTCGACGAAACAGGATTTCACGATGACCCGAAAAGGCAAAAACTGCTTTTTAGGCGTCAGAATCGTAACTCTGAAGTAATACGAAATTCTACTAAATCGTGTTATACATCTGTGTTCTGTGCTAATGCTGCAGGTGAAGTAATACCTCCATATTTTATATTTAAAGCCAAAAATACGTGGTCAGATTGGCTTATTGGGGCACCACCTGGTTCACGTATGACTGTAACCAAAAGCGGTTGGATTGATCTGGAGAGCTTTGATGATTGGTTTAGCACACACTTTTTGCCAATAGTTTCAAAGAAAGAAGGGAAAAAAGTACTTATCTGTGACAACTTAAGTTCACACATCTCAGTGAATACTTTAAAGTTGTGTAAAGATAATAACATAGGATTTATTTGCCTAGTACCCAATTCCACACATCTTCTCCAGCCACTCGACGTTGGCTACTTTAGTCCCTTAAAGTCAAATTGGCGGACTGTTTTATTTGATTGGCGGCAGACTGCAAGAGGAAAAAAAGCAATTTCACTTCCCAAAAACTGCTTTACTGCTCTAGTAAAAAGGGCTTTAGAATTGGGAGCCCAGCAGTCAGCAAATAATGTTTTGGCGGGTTTCAAAGCCACAGGAATATACCCATTGGACAGACAAGAGGTGTTGAACAGACTTCCTGAATATGCCAAAACTCCGATAAACGCCGAGAGTGCCAGAGAATCTTTAGGTGAAAGTTTCAGGAGTTATTTAGCCGAATTACGAAACACAGATCTAGGCATAAAAAATCAGAGGAAATTTCAAATGCCCATAAGTGTTGGTAAAAGCGTTTCATTAGAAGAGGTTGAATTATATTATAAAAAAAAAAGCTGAAGCTCAGGTAAAAAAGTCTAGTGATTCCACCGAACCAAATAAAGCTACAAAAAGAGGTCGTCCTCAAGGATCGAAAAATAAAAAAAAATGAAAACCCTGAATAAAGAAAATACTGACCAAAATATTCCTACACCATCAACATCGAACCAAATTTCTTTAACACAAATTGATATGTCTGCGCACGAAGAGGTCCAGCCGGCTTCCGACGAACCATTAGAAGCGACGCCTGAAGTGACTAATGATATAATGGGAGATGTCGCCATAGAAGATTTGTTTGGTTTTGATGGTAATTTGCAATCCGGAATAGAAAATGAAAAAATTGCAGAGAACACTAAAAGCCACCCACATCTTTTTCTGATATCTTGCCAGGAACTCAAGTTATATTTAGAAATGAAGGGTCTCTGTTTACTGGGAAAGTTGTTTCTATGGTTTATCCATTTTATATCATCGTTTGTATGTGTAAGAATGTGAATGGTGGCTGGAAGTGGCCAGATAAGAGGGAGTCTGTGAAAATAAGATGCGATAATATAATTTCAATAGTCGATATGAGCAAAATTCGACTGAAATCATGTGGTATTTACCACATCAATGACGATTTACTCTACATGGAATGGGGTGAATAAAAATTAGCAAGACGTTGTTGATCGTAATTTTCATTTTAGTTAAACTCATTTTATGATTAAGATTAATGTTTTTTGGATTGATTGTCAAAATTGAAGAAATGTGTCACACCCTTTCTTAACTTAATATTTCTGCAATAAATATAGTACTCACATATATCATTTTATGGTTTTATTTACTCGACCATAGATCTTTTATCTTAAAAATACATATCAAAGTAAACCCGAAGCTTTAAAAATTAAGTTATATCGGTTTTCTATGACTGGCTCCACCAGTGTCAAAGTTACCCTTTAAAGGCTGGTAACTTTGACACACACAAAAAGTACAGATTTTGTTGCTTTCTAGTATATTTAAAAAAAAATACTATATGAATAGAAACGCGATCAGCTCCGGAACACCGTAAATGACTTCCATTATTGTCTATCAACCAACATGCCTTCAATATTAGACTAAATACAGTATTTTTCTGTCAAAGTTACCCCGATTGACTGTAATGATAATGCTGGAATTAGTCACTCTAAGCCAAAATTTACTTGATTTTATTAACTGTAGATCTTAATTTAAAACTGGATTGATGTTTATTTTTAAATCAATGCCCAATATCAAACTTAATCCAATGAATCCAATATATTATTATTTACTACCAGCCAAACTAGGAGATCTTAATACCGCAAAAGAAACGACAGTAACATATGTCCCCCGCAGGTGATGGCGGTGGGTATAGCGGTGGAGTTCTGTTCGCACGTGGTGCACGCGTTCAGCGTGGCGGGGGGCGCGGGCCGCCGCGACCGCGCCGCCGCCGCGCTCACCCGCATGGGCTCCTCCGTGCTCTCCGGCATCACGCTCACCAAGTTCGGCGGCATCATCGTGCTCGGCACCGCCAAGAGCCAGATATTCCAGGTCTGCCATGCAACTAACTATACTAAAACTATTATTCTGGAAGATCACTTGACGTTTTAAGAAAAAAGCTCTTCCCATGATATTTACATCGACGAACACTAAATGGTGTCCAAATTAGGCTTCAAGTATATTCTAATTTAGTTTTAACACTTATTGACCCACTTTTAATGACTAACCAAAATCTTCAAAGCAATCGAAGAACTTTACAGAAAAATATCAAAACTTAAAGCTCGAAAGATCCTGTCATTGTTTCCAATTTTGTTATATTTACCTGGCACTAGCGAAACCTAAATAACTGTAGACGATTCATATATAACGTGTAGACGTTAGACGTTAGCGAGATTAATATCGCTCTCTGCTCATGATCATAAACCCTACCGTGGCTTGAAACTAGTCAAAGAGTAACCACACTTTGTATTACAATACAAATTCTGACTCCTGCACATTTCCAGGTGTTCTACTTCCGCATGTACCTGGGCATCGTGTTACTGGGCGCGGCGCACGGACTCATCTTCCTGCCCGTCATGCTCAGCTATATCGGTAAGTCATACTTGTTGTGATCTAACTAGGCCTTACACGTTATTGTACAACACTCTTCAAGATGTTCATTAATTTAAAATGAATAAAGTAGCGTCTTGCATGAGAGTCCTTTCGCATGAAATGAGATTTCAGAAACGATTCGATTCTATAAAGTTATCGATCTCTGTATATATCATATAGATCAGCTAGGCTATTCTGTAAGATATCAATTGGGTACTTGCCAACTAGTCAAATTCAATACTTTTTTCGAACTGTCAAATACGACAGTTTTCTATGAATGTACGAAATTGTGTATTGTGACGTCACGTTTTTTTAGCGTCAAACAACGTACTTATTTCTTAAAAAATTGCTAGAAAAAATACTAAAATTAAATTGGTCATATAATCAATAAATCAAAGTGTGATTATTTTTTAATATTTTATTACAATAAGATATTTAAATTAGTTCAATACATTGAACAGTCGAAATAATTTATTTTTGATTAAGGAAAGTACCTGATTCGAACTCTCGAAGTAGGCTCGATCGCTTTGTCATTAGTTGTGACAAGGCGAGACTTGAGACTTGTCATTTCGAGAGTTCGAATTAACATCTTACAAAATAGACTAGCTGTTTACAGACAGTAATTTCAGATGACTTACGACTTATAGTTACTATAATCTTAACGGAGATACACAAAAATCTTAGTAATCTTAGCTACACTTTCTCATTTTTCTCTTGTTAATAAACACATACAAAAATGCACTCTATTTCTTGTTTCCTAAGCGTTAAATTTACGTGTCAGGCCTCGTTAACTTTATGTATCGCACCCGCACATGATTTGACATTTTTATTTGTATTTTTTTATATATAAGTTTTTCCGTTACGGTCTTGCATGCAATGTCTTTCGTTTTTTTTTTATTTTATTACATTATTGTCTATGCACCATTTTATTTGAACTTTCGCTTGTATATTGGACCTTTTTGATAGTTGTTTTAGTTGAAAAAAAATACGTGAATTTGTTTTTTTTTTTTTTGTTTTTTTTTTCGCCTATACTAACTCATGACGGTTGGTAGTGCCTTACTAACGAAGTGACGCAGGTAAATATATAGAGCTTACAGCTTAAGCTTTTATGAAAGTGTGCATTGTTCTTGGAGCAAAGATATTATGATGGAAAGGGTACAGGTGATGTATTTGTCTTCCATTTACCATATGCTGGTCAATTTCGAGTTGTATAATCTGTCCTGGTCATTTTAAAGCACTTACTGTAGTTGCAGTACTCATTGTACAACCTGAACTTGAGTTAAGTGTTTGAGTATAATGACGGAATGAATAGACGTTACTTACCACGTACTTTGCAGATATTATGTATAATTTTTTTTACCGCTTATGTTATGAGTCTAAGATAGTCTAAGATAATTCTATGAAATCGGCCATTGATGATATAACGGGCCAGTCCCTCGTATTTCAATATTGGATTTAACGAGGAATGGGAATGCATTGGAGTAAAGTAGCGAATGCAATCACCAATCACATGAGTTCAAATTAATCAAAGGATCGAAACAAACAACCAAAGGCTAATACAAAAAAATAGTTAAATACACAAACAAATATGCAGCCGAATTGATAATCTCCTCCTTTTTGGGAAGTCGGTTAAAAATACCCTTATCTTTGCAAAAACGTGGTACTAAGTAATATCTAATCATTTCGACACAGTTACTCGTCACTTTTCATTTCAATATGATATCCTACCATTTATATCTCGCTGTCGTCCTTTTGTATCTTGGACGACACAGTTATAACGAACTGCACAAACCAAACAAATATCCATAAACGCTTATTACTTAAAATCAATTGTATTCATCGTAACCTCACATTATGGCACATTAACATATACTGATATAGCGCTATACATGTACATACATAGTTATTATACTTAGAGTGTGATAACACGCATGATAAGAAGTTCCGTCAGGCAGGTGACTCGACTCCTCGTTACAGGTTCCCCCGTCAACAAACAGAAGCTCGCCAACCAACTCCTGCGCAGCAAGGACGTCGCGGTCACTGAGACGTCGCTCACTCGAGTAAGAGACGCGAGGGGACACCCATACACCCACTATAACTTTGAATCGCTTCCCGCGTGAACTTGTCTATAGCGAGAATGAACACGTACGTACTAACGAACAAACGAAATTTTTCATATAGAAGCATAGCGATCACGGTGGACCATTATTCAATAGTATATAGTAACCCCAGTTAAATAGAAGTATAGCACTCATTATATTAGCGGTTTGAATGAATTTTAACTTTGAAACACCCGATCTTATGCAACAAATCATTAATGACAATAAAACCGGGTATTTCAAGTGTTAGCTGAGATGCAATAGAGTAACCCTTTGTCCCGCCATCGTTCGCCATGCCTTCACATAGATGAATAAATAAAAGATTACAATTTGTTTAGTTCATTCTCGTTACAAGTTCCCGTACTAACACATCGGTGTATTGTAAAGTGGGAGGTGGTGCGACCAGGATGCGTCTGGTAGACTCATCGAACATTGTAGCACAGGATCAGGTCCTATAGTATTACAGTGTTGCTGATACCTCACCACTGTCTGACATTTGTATGACTTAGACCGACTTGTTTAGACATCAAATTGTATAAGGTAAGTACCAAAATTAAATTTTATTATTCGCCAAAGAATTTACTCTCATACTTTTTTGGTTAGAGTGATTTTTTAGTCTGTCTACAGTCGCATAAATGTCGGCGCGGGAGTATGGTTCTCTTCCCATTAATATTGTTGAAAGCATTTATTGTATACGGCGGTAATTGTGATTTGGAACATTTTGTTTTACATGGATTGGCTGTTACAAACAAAGATTCTAAATTAATTAATTATAGAAACTAGTAGTTAGCAATAAAGTGTTGGAATCACACGTACCGCGGCAAGGGGTTGGTTTCTAACCAAAATGGTTGATGGGACACCCTTTTATGTTAAAGTATCACGAATATCATATTTTTTTTATTGTAATTTGCATGTATCGATCGTTATATTCCTAATTGTGTAACGGTAGCGATCATTCCTATTGAGTTCGAATTTAAAATTATTATTTTTTAACATTTTTTTATTTATTTTTGTATATTTATGATTTTCTGTCACTGCCTTCGTTTTTTTGCACACGCTAGAGTACTTACTATAAGAGCTTCAAGCTAGATACGTTTAGTTAGCAACATAGAGCCGAAGTAACTAAAGTTTATCAATAAATAGATAATATAGAGTTATTCCATCGTTACAAGTGTAATACAAGTGACAGACGCAATACATCCAGTACTTACACAACAGTACTTAATTCAACAAGGCAGTGCTATAGCAAATCTCTAACTAATGACTAAATAGAGAATACTATTTATTTATTTATTTAATTAGTACTACAGGCGTAACGTAAAAGGCAAGAGAGGTTTAGAACATTGTGAAACTTTTAGGTACGAATGTCAATTTTTGTATACAATAATAGGACATTGAAAACTATCAAAATTATTTAAATTACCAACTCGAATCCTAGTTACGCCTGAATTAAATAATTATATTATAACTAGCGCAAATCATAGCTAAATCAAGATAGGCGCAACGTATATTCCATTATTGTGAGAATTCATTTAATTGATATTTATTTGCACGCTTATCGTAGAATTAGTTAGGGACAGCCTGTATCTTAGATTAGTTTGTTTGTGTGAGAAATTGACGTTCCCTGTGAAAGTCTGAGGGCGTATATGTTGTGTGCAATGTTTATATACACATAGTAGCACTGATATTGAGATACAGAGTGTGGTTTTACTTATAGACTAGAGTTTTATATTACGACTTGCCAACACAGACACAATTTTGGCATTTTGATATCAGTGTACTCCAATGTTGTGTAGTCGTCAGTATTAATGTTTATGGATTATAACACCAGTGTTTTTACTAAAACTTTTTTAAAGATATTTTTATTTTTTGTTTTATAAATTAAATAGGTTTATTAAAAACTTTTTTCATAGAAAGAAGTTACAGGTCATTACTAATCATTAATAGGATGTATCGGGTTCGTTAATGATTACGTTCAATTTCTCCGCATTACAACGTAGGCTTCTTGTAAACACATTGTATTGTATTTTTGTATTCTTCTCGTAAATTCTGACTAACAAAGGGAAATGATGAAGTACTAATGGTATGAGCTGACGCTTGGTGTTGGTCGACTTGCTCCTTCAGTAATATATAGCTTTAAATGCAAGGAGCTGTCTGTCTTTACAGGTACATCTGTAAAACGACACGGATATTGAGAACAAATTATATATTTTAGTCGAATGACGTTGTTATGTACAATCTGTATTATTAATTTGTGATTCTTGAGAGATTTCGATTACTTTAAGAACCCCTCTGAGTTCCTACTAAAGATAAATGTTATAATATATTCCTTAGAGAATGCCAAATGCTGAATGAAATTGTTAAAGAAATTATCACAAACTATGGGAATCTCCTACTTAATGTTAGTACTTACTTAATATAGAGGGAAATAGTTTTGTATTGAAAAGCACCACATTGTCAGGCAGATTTTGTGATAATAAAATAAATTATGCTTTTTTAATTCTTTGTTTTTGTTTTATTTTTTAGTTATAAAGCACCTATGCATGGTATGAGTGCACAGCTCAGTGTCGCCAGGTATGCATTCAATTTATGCATGTAAAGGTTCATTCATAAATATATTGCTCATCTTAAAGTGCAAATTGGTTGAAAGTTATCATTTAGCGACTTGTACAAGTAAATAGCTGTTACACTATAACTAGTGTTTGCACTTAAAGCATGGCCTCGAATGTAGAATCATCAAGTAGTTATGTTTATCACATGAAGCATATAGAAGCAATACGTAGGCATATAGTATATAGGTTGAACTCGGAAATAAAGGTCCAATGTACAACTAAATTTAATTATAAACTTTTTCCTTATGCCAAAGGAGCTTCTCAGCCCGACCCCAATCAATGTAAGAACTACTTTTTATTACAACAAGCACTATCACTTAGTTTGTACGAGTCGAAAACTGATTGAAGTGCACGAGATAGTTGGCCACCTAGTCTTAAAAATGTTCTATTTTTCATTACTCTATCAACTAAATAGAATGTTTTTTTAAGAATTAAAATTACGGCAATTGTGCACAGAGAATCAATAAAGTTATTTGTTCACGGTATCTGGAACACGCGTGTATGTTACAACTAATTGTGAAACATAAAAATACTCTCATAAATATTATCTTTATAGATACTTGATAATGCCAACAGTATCGAGTTTATTATTTCCTTATCATTCCAATTCAAATTATAATTTCGAGTATCGATATCTTTAACTTTTTACATAAAGAATAGATTAAAATACAAGGATATGTATTATTTTAAACGACATAGTAACAACCTAAATTATTCATTATCTTTGATCGCCATATGTAAAAATATCATCCCATTACATATTCGAATTGAAAAAAGTGGTATTCTTCGTATTTATTGAAGTATTATAATTATGTGAAGCAAGCCTACATGACTAGCGACATGATACACGATAGCCATCGCCCCACAACTGTACATAAATGTATCTAATCTCGAAGATCACTTCACCCATCCGTCCACGCTTGTTACCACGGCCACGTGTAATGAAACCTAATGTACCGCATGATAAATTGGCAATGTTACATGTGTCTAGATGTTCACAGAACTTTGGCATGATGTACGAAGAGTATATTGTAGTGAGGGGACTGTGTGGTCCAGTTGGATGTCATGACAAGTTTGATGTTCCGTCAGGCATAACCCGGCGTCGGGGACGTTGGCGAGTGCAGTCGCGGCGCAGTCACACCTACGGCAGTCTAGACGAGACGCCGAGTGAGCCGCGCGCCTCCAGCAGTGGCACCGTCAACGGCCTCACCGACGAGATGTGAGCACTCAGGTGTACACACTACGGTGAGTCGCACCACTTAGCTACTGTCTCTTCATTCCTACGTACCTAGATAGTAGAGGCTACAGCCATATTGTGTACATCTTAGCGTACAGTGAAGGAAATTGACTCGAACAGTGAACTTTGTAGCGAAATTCGTAGTGTTAGTTAGGAATGAAATATGACTGTATTGAAGGAGACCGCGTGTAACTATTTCCAATCTTATGTTGTTACTCATAAGGTTGTAAATGTTATACTGTGTGTGAATCTTGCGGATTTGAAGAATTATGTACCCAGCAAGATAGCTTCGCTTGTGATATGTACATTAGGTATAAGTATATGAATATGATCTAAATATGTGGTTTATATAAAATTATAAGGGTATCTATGAAATAATTCGGGAGCTTTGTAATTTTTATAAATTATATTCTAAATATTACACAATATATCAAGATATAAAATAGAGAATACAATTTAAAATATGAAAAAATATATAATCTTTATAAAATATCAAAAATAGAAGAGATACTTTTATTTAATTTCTATTTTGAGTTTGTTGTATAAAAATATATATATGCTGAATACAGCACTATTGTTGCAAAGAGTAATCGTTATTATTAATATTCATTTAATTATCTATTACTGTTCATCTCTGAAAACTTGGAACATCGAATTAATTTACAAAAGTACTATAATAATATATTTAATGGTCCAATCGCCAGCAGGTCAACTCTCCTCCAAAATGCCAAATTATTTTAATAGATTCTCAACTTTATTACAAGACGTATAAAGTTGAAAATGTACTAAAGACGTTTGATAGATTAAAGTGGACTGGTCTGCTGGTACGAAGTACTATTTCATATTCATTTGTTTTTGTACAAGTTTGTTAAACGATACGTTCTAAAATAGAACAGTGATGTTTAAAGTATTAGCTAACATATTTATATCTGTATATAAAGATCAAAACTTTAATAGAATAAAATGACAACCTAGAGTTGACATTCTGATATTATTTTATTTCTCATTATTAGGTTAAGTTATAGGAGTTTTATTACTACGGACTATTCTGAGTGATACACTATAAATAATTAGTTGCACTTGTAATTTTTGTAGCTAATCAATGGCCTATGTTAAGACCTTCAAGATTAAGCCTATTTTAATTATTATGTTTTCGGTTTACTCACTTGACT